ATGGACTTTTATTTTCTATTTTGTCTGTATGTTTTCCTTAGCTTAGGAGAAATCTTTCAAAGACAAGGACCAAATCTGTTTACAGAACTTAACTGTGACATCCTATAGGACATGTTCAAAAGCAGTTGCCAAACATGATGGCACACACCTGTAATCCCAGCACTTGGGAGGCTTAGGCAGGAGGATTGCTGAGAGTCTGTGGCCAGCCTGGGCTACAATGTGAGTTCAAGGCCAGCCTGAACTATGTAGTAAGACCTTGTCACAGAAAAGAAAAAAAAATCAAAAGGGCTTAAATTTTTCCCTAGCAAAAACTTTTGACTCACACCCATAATCCCAACTCTCAGGAGGCTGAAACAGGGGAATCTTCAGCTTGAGGCCAGCCTAGGCTACATAGAGAGTTCAAGACTGTCCTAGACTACATAGTGAGACCCTGTCTCAAAAAATAAAAAACTTTTTGATCAACCTTTTGTCACTCTCCTTGTCACTCTCGTTTATCCCCCCCCCCCCACAAAAAGCCTGGGTACCAGTGATTCTTTCCCTTTCTCCACCTACTGTTTTATTTCTGTAGAAGTAGAGGCTTATTAATGGCTTATAGTCCTGCTAGCTGGGGAACTGATTTAGCAAGTGTTATGGCTTGTATCTAGATGTTCCCCCTAAAGCTGAGTGAAGTCATAGGAGGGGCTTTTTGGAGGTGGCTGGATCTAGGGTGTGTGACGTTGGGATCAAGGAGATGATGCTGGGATTGATTCATCATGCTAGGATTAAGGGTGAGAGTGCTAGGACGGGTAGCCTGGATAAAATATGAGACAGAAAGAGGGCTACTGTCCTCATTGCTTGTCACTTGTTGCTTTTGTTGCCACTGCCTCCAGTGAACTGTTTCTCCACTTTGATGCCCCTCTGCCATGCCTCCCTACCTTGGAGCCAGCTGATGATGGACTGAGACTGAGACCTCTACAAACTCAGAGTCAAAATATAAACTTTTCCTGCTTTAACTTTGGGTGTCAGGTGTTTTATCTCAGCAACAAGAAAACAAACCAAGACAGCAAGGGACAGTAGAAGAGCTATGAGTCAATGCTCACCAACCTAGGAACTTGAAATTAATGAAAGGAGGTTTGGTGGTGCTTTCACCTGTAATCTCAGCACTCTGGGAGACCGAGGCAGGAGGATTGTGAGTTTGAAGCCAGCCTGGGTTACATAGTGAGATCTTCTCAAAAAGAAAAAATACAAAGAAATTGACAATCACAAATAGGGATTGGGAATTTAGCTCAGTGGTAGCTCACTTTGCTTAGCCCCAGGTCCTGGGTTCCATCCCCAGAACAATAAGAAAAAAAAAATCACAAATAGAGGAAAGAACAGGCCTTATCAGATGTAAAGGAGCCACTTCAACTTGTAGAAGAAAGAGAATCCTGGAAAGTTAACACTGGAAGGAACCTCAAAGATCACCTACTTCTTGATTTTGCTAAATGAGAAAGCCGGGGGATTAAGAGATGAAGTAACTTGCATAGTTCCTCAACTATTTAGTAGTAGAGCTGGGAGCAGACTTGCAGTCTCCACATCCAAGATAGCTGTTTGTTCCACACCACATGCTGGCCACATGTGCATCTAGCAAAACACATTACAGTACAAAGTAGCTTCACTCTAAACTATCAGGAATGAAAAACAAATTACTCGAACCCTTCCTCTTCTCTGATAATATTTTTTTAAATTGACAAATAATTGTGTGCATATATGTACAACGTGATGTTCTGATCTATGTATACATTACAGAAAGATTCAGTCCAGCTAATTAATATATCCCTCACCTAATTTATTTTGTTGAGTGTGGTAAGAACATTAAAAATCTATTTTGGCAATCTTGAATTATCCAATATATTAACCGTGGTCAATATGCAGTGTAATAGATCACTAAAACTTATTCCTCCAGTCTAACTTTGTACCCTTTGACCAATCTCTTCTCTTTCCTCATCCCTCCTCTGCCCCTACCTCCACCCCACAATATTTTTTTTCTTTTTTCTTTGTGTTTCTCTGTGTTCTAGTCACTATCTCTTTTAAATCCCTTTTAGGTTTCTCCCTGTGAATCCCTCTCTCTGGAATTTCAAATTAAACTGTAGTGCACCTGCATAATTCTTTTTTTTTTTTCTTTTCAAAGCTGTTTCTTGTCCAAAGGCAAACATGAACAATCAAGACTCTTTCATGGTGACCTTTGAGGTACAGAACACTCAAAATTTCGATATGTGAGATGCTGAACCTCCCTCCTAACCTATCCAGTCAATTAAAATGAGTCTCTGACTCCCCTGAGGGTTGTTAACCAATCCAAGGAAAGAAAAGATAATATCATTTCTTCGTCACTACTATGCAGGGAAGCTGCTAACCAGTCAGAATCTGCCACTGGCTGTCATTAGAAAAACTGGCCAATCAGGCCAGCCTTGTTACATGGCCTGGTAGGAAAAGAAAGGGATTGATTGGTGAGGCTAGTTCTGACTCCACACCCTTTTCTTCCTGGACCCTGTTTCCTTTAGTGAAGTGCAGGAAAGACCCTTCCCCAGGTCCACGGTTAAAAAGATCACTAGACCCTCAGCTAATTTCGGATTATCTTTTTGCCCTCAAACTCTCCCCTCCCTCACAAACCTCTCTCTACTTCATGTAATCTCACTGCTTTGTTACCAATGTAATTTCATGCTTCAAACCTTGTTACAATGGCCTCCAGGGTTCTCAGCCTCCCCACAGATCTTCACCCACCAATATGCCAAATAACTTGTTCTGCATGATTTGTGTGAGTCAAAAAGTTCTAAGTTATAGTTGAGTCTCCGGTTACTAAGCAAGGACCTTGCAATGAACAGTCTCTAGGGAGCAGTGCAGAACTGAATTGCAATGCTCCTAACTATAATAATAGTGATGATGATGTTGTTGATAGCAATTATTGGATTTTCCTGCATACCAACTACTTTGCTAAAAGCTTCATTATATTATCATCCCAATATTGGCTGTAAGGTAAAAACTGTTATTCACAATTTACAAAGGAGGAAATTTATTTAGAAGGGTTAAATAACCTGCTCAAGGTCATAGATTCTAGAACCCAAGTTTGTCTGAATCCAGAGCCCAAAGCTGAATGAGGACAGAGGGTATCAAACACTGCAGGCTATAACAACTTATGGAAGGAACTAGCTTTAGCTTCCTCACAGGCCCCTTTTCTGAGCCTCCTCTGGGATTGTTAGCGGAATCTGAGATTGCCTGAATTGTGGAAACCAACAGCTGCAACAATCGTTTGGCGGTGGCGGCTCCTCAGAACTGTAGGCTTTCTGCCTCATAGGATGTGAAGCTGAGAGCTAAAAGGAATTCCGTTTTGGAGGGGGTGGGGATGTTCAGGGACCTCTGGGGATAAACTCCTAAGTCCTCGCTAGCCTGTCTTCCTTCTCCTACAGCACCCGGCAGGGTGCCTGCCACCGCTTAGTATTTTGTAAATACCTGTTGATTGATTCCCAAAGATTCCCGTTGTGCCCCTGCTCCAGTCAGCAGGCGGAACTGGAGAGGGATTTGGGAATTTCAGGGAACCTATGAGGATCCTAATGGAGCCGAAATCATGGATTTAGGAAAGGTGGACAAGTCCCCCACCCTCCTCTTCTCTCCGCTTCTCCTCTTTCTCCCCACTCCTTCCCCTCCCTTACAGGAGCTCAGGGCCATAAAAATGCAGATGGAGGATCGGTGTGAAATAACGGGCCCATATAAATCCCTCTGCCGCCCGCCTGCAAGATGGATTGGCCGCATTGAAATTCCTCCGTGAGGATAATTAAACTCGGGGCCTCATCCGGGCAAAATTACATTCCTGTAATGGCGTCGCTCGGGGTCCCGGGAAATTGCTCCGTGGGCTTTCAGCGGCGGTTTTTATCGCCGGCCGGGGTGTGCCTGGCTGCGGCTCGCCTCTCCTCCGGGACTGTAAAGCTGCTGCCGTGATTTATCCTCCCCTTCTCCCAAATCCGATTAAATGGAGGAGCTCGGGGCCCGGGTGCCGCGGGGCCCAGGAGCCAGGAGGGGGCGGCGGGAAGACGGGGCCAAGGAGGGGAGGACAAACAGCCCCTCAGAGGGTGGCGGATTTGGCTTTATTTACAGCCGCGGCTTTCTTTTTATTTTTTATTTTTTATGGGGGTTTGGTGAGCTTTTCCCGTCCTTCTCGTGCTGCATTCATGTACGATGTCCGACGGCCTTTTGCCGCCCACTTCCAAAGAGTTGGTCAAGTCCTGGCTGGGCGACAAAAAGCCCCTGAAGGGACGAGGTCGAGGAGCCCCCACTTCCTTGCCCCGCGGGAACGACGAGCGAAATGGTGAGAGAGAAGAGAGGAAAGAGCGCTGCTTATCTCTTCTGGCCCGAGTGACTTGGGCAGAGGCTCAGGCCTGACCCCGCACCCTTCCTGCAGATCGCAGGTTCCCGTTTTTCCTACTCTGACCCAGGACCCAGGAAGGAGAGCGTTGAACTATATTTAGCCCGTCTTCTGGCTCGCTGGTGCTGGTTTTCTCATGGTTAATCAAGAGAAGAAAGAGGGAAACGTGAAGGGAAAGGCGTAGCCAGCAGAAGCAGCTGTGGCATTTTGTTGACTATTCGCCCATTGAGCCGATTTTCCATGTAAAGATGCCAGTCAACGATGACTTCATTTTCTTCCTGCTACATTTTAGGTACTGAACCCCAAATCCCTATCGTAGGCTATTTAACACTGGATTTCTGAGTAAGTTTCTCCACCCCATGTGACTGCTCATGCTCAGAAAGGGGATGCGAGTCTAAAAGGCCAAACGCGGCCCAACAAAACCTCAGGCCACTTTACGGATATAGGCTTACTGCAGAGTTGGCCTTGTTTCGGCAAACGACCGGCTCCGCCTGTAGTTCCTCCACTCAAACACCAGGTGGAGCGTCTGGCCGGGTGCCTCCACAGAGCTGGCAGGCGGCGCTGTGGCGCTTGGGCTGACCCTCAACTTTGCATTCTATCCGTGGCAGGACGACTATTGGCCCGAGTCACGCATGCGCTGAGCCTTCTTGTCCGTATTCCCGCCCCCCTCCCCGCCCCTCTCTGTCTTCTCTGCCCTGGGAGCAGGTAAGGCCTTGGGCCTCGTGCCCCGTCTGCGCCGCGCAGGCGCGTGGGGCATGTTCACTCGCGTGGCTGCTGTAAGGCCCGTCTTGCTTGCTCCCACCCCAGTACTCTCACCGTCCCGGGTCCCCCGTGCCTTTGCGCCTGAGAGCTGCCCCTTCCCCGCGCTCCGGTGACCTCCAACCGCGCGGGCCTGGCGCCATTTTGGGTGTCTGGTGGGGGTCGGGTGCACTGGAGCTGACGAAAATCAGATTCCAAGTACCGGTTTTCACCTGCCCCTCGAAGCCAGTACAGACCTACGCTCTTTGCTTACCCTCTTTCGCTTCCAGACTTGTCACAACTCCCAGAGTGTCCCCTCCTCTCTTTTCTCCTTGCGTCCTGACTCTTGCCTGAAACCTCCAGACTTGCATCCTCAGAACCTCAGACGCCTCAAGCGTTGGTGATGGTACATCCTCTAAAGCCACCAGTCCCTCTAGTTAACATCCCTCAATTTAAAAAGTAAACCGTGAGGGCGGGGAATTTAGCTCAGTGGTTTCGCCGTCTGCTGGGCAAGCGCAAGGACCCGAGTTCGATCCCCGCTACCAAAAAAAGTAAACCGTGAATGGGGTAGACACTAACAGAACAGCCCCTCCAGTTAGGTTGTGGCTTAGGACAGCTGCTTCTTTGGAAACAGACATTGTTGTTTGCGAGCACCTTTCTCTTATTGCCCTGGCACTCTGGAGAAGTTGGAAAGATCACAAATGGTGGGCTAGAAATGAGGGTTTCTTTTACAGGCAGCACGCCCAGAAGGCCAAGTAATAGGGCAAGCATGAGTCTCCACTTGTGGCTTTCTTGTCAAGTATTAAGCTCCCCAGGTTCTACTATCAAAAGAAAGTTTAAGGAAGGGAATGGTTAAGTTAGCACACTGTAACTGACTCATCTACACCCAAGAAGAAGCCTGTGGTGATTTAGGAGCTCTGGTTCTAGACAGTGCCTCTGACCAGGTGTAAGCTAAACATTGCGGATTTGCCAGTTAGGTGACCAGTAGTGGCATCTGCTGCAAGTGCAGGTTGTCTTTGTCACCCTTCGTGCTTATTATAAGCCAGCATCACATTATACTTTACATATGTTAATTTTCAAATTAACAAAATCCAAGAACTACATTTTACAAATGATTTTAAGACAGTTTCTTTTGGAAAAAAGTCTTCCCTTTGTAAAAACTTTGAAATAGTATGTGTGTGTATTTATGTGGGTTGGTTTGTTTGAGGTGGGCTTACTGTGTAATGCAGGCTAGTTTGGGCAGCAGAATTGGGTTAGACTTCCATATACACAGAAATCGGAGTTCTACATATCCCAAGACTTGAAGGGATGCATTAATCTAAAAGTAATTAAAGTTCTGGATCCAGAACTGTTCCTGGGACAGTGTAGTCCAGTTCATTTAAAGAAGTGGCATTTAACATGCCTAAGCATTCACTGAGTTTTTCACCCAGTGGCATATTAGAATTCAGGAGTGAAAAAGTCTGAATTCAAGACCTAGCTGTGAAACTATCATAGTTTCAGTACAGGTGTTGACTGTACTCTTAAAGTTATGTGTACCTTAACTGTAAAGGCAGTTTATTCGGAAAACTTGTTTGAAATACTTGAGTTCATCCCTAGAATCTTAACCACGGCTATCTAAGCTCCAACCCAAGAATATGCATTTTTAATATACCACCTCTACTCACATAGTTCTGGGTCATTTGGGCTCTCATGCTGGGCATGGTGGCACATACCTGTAATCTCAGCACTCAGGAGACTGAGGCAGCAGGATTGCAGGAAGTTCAAGGCTAGCCCAGGCTATAGTGAGACCCTGTCTCAAAAAAGTTGGGCTCTCATTTGGAGAAGCCCTGCTTTTAGATCTTTAGCTCACTCTCAACTCAGGTAAATTAAGCTCTATCAATTTAGGCATCTGCTGATATAAGGACTTCTTTGATCTTGGGACATACAGAATTTAATACTTTAGCCAGGCGCGGTTGCACATGCCTGAAATCTCAGGGCTTGGGAAGCTAAGGCAGGAGGATCAATGTAAGCTTGAGGCCATGCTGAATTACATAGTGAGATCCTGTCTCAAAAAACTGAAAGAGAAAATTAGTGTGATGGTGAAAATGAGTAATTTTGTTTTGTTGTTTTTGGTACCAGGGATCAAACTCAGGACCTTGCACTTGTGAGGCAGACATGGTGCCGCTGAGCTAAATACGTGGCCCTTTTTTTTGTACCAAAAAATGAAGTTTTAAGAGGCATTCCTAATTAATATTAGAATTTCTTACTGATCTGCCTCCTCCTGTTAATTGCTGTAGGAAATTGAAGTGTTTTGAGGAGTCAGATACTTCCAGGTAGTTCTGTAAAGAGTTCCCTTTTTTGTTTTTTGTTTTGTTTTTCTTTTTGGTACCGGGGATCGAACTCAGGTCCTTGAGCTTGGAAAGCAGGCGGTGGAACCACTGAGCTAAATCCCCATCCCCAGGAGTTCCCTTTTGAACAAAGATTGAGAATAACTTCAGCAAAGGACACTGGCCAAATATTTCTGCCAACCCCAAATCATTTGGCTATGGCAATACATAATAGGTCTTAAAGTGGGAACCAAGTGACTACTTTTCAGACCAAGAGAATGTTACTTGATTGAAAGGAAATCTTGGAAGTTCTGTGGGCTTTCTGGAGGAAGTCAGGATTCTAACTCCATCTCTGCTGATGACTTGAGGTTAGTCCCTCTGCTCTCTGGGCCACTTAAGCTTTCCAGCGCACCTTTTCTGCTAAGAAGCATGTGGTTTAGTGGGCAAGGACAGCGTTTACAATGCTGCTTCTGTAATTCCAGCTCTCCTGCCACGGCCCCTCACTCCCTGAAAATGTACGCCTGCTCCCGATTTGTTTCCACCCCCTCCTTGGTAAGTACTGGCTTTTTCTGGGAGTTTTACAAGAGAAGCACTTTGTTTCTTCCTTGTTGTCAGACCTGCTTTTTTCCCAGCTGGTCTGGGGGAAGGTGAATGAGATTCTTGGAAAAGGAAACCTTTTGCTGTGGGAGCCTGACAGGAAAGAGTAAATGCTTGCCAAGCACTCCTCTGCCCCATAGCCCTTGGAGGCCAGTTAATTCTTACACACTCATGACAAAGATCATGTTATTCCTGAAACTATGTTCCTGAAAACTGGAATCCAGCCAGAAGCATAAGCAAAACCTTGGTCTGAGTATGCACTGTATGTAGGATTTTGTATGGAGTAAACCATAGGTAGGAGTGCATTCTGGGAATTTAAATTTAGAGAAGAAGCTAAATACATATAAACATAAATTGGGAAAGTGTGGCTCAGAAGCAACAGTGTGGAAGAAATTAAAAATTAGATGCATGCACCAAAATAAATCTCTTTTCCTTTAAAAAAAAATTAGAGAATGGAGGCAGTTCATCCATAGTTTGCTAGGCAGCACTTACTGAGCACTTTTCATGTGCTTTGCATTGAGTTTACCAATTTGTATACTCCATCTCATTTTCACAGATCAACCCTGAGAGAGGGTTCCTATCTGACAGATGAGAAAACATGTTTAGAAAGATGTAAGTGATATCCTGAGATGGCACAGATGATTTTTTTTTTTTAAAGTTAAGATTTGAATGTAGATCTGCATCAGAAGTCCTGGTTGTTATCATGTTTTTCTGTTTTTGAGACACTGGCTTGAAGTTAGTCAAAAAAGGCTACCAGGAAGAGGTAAATTTTGAGCAGGGATCCTTTGCAGAAGGATATGTTTAGGGAAAGATGCCCCAGTCCATGGCTTCCTTGGGGAGTGGCTATTGCCCGTATCTGTCTCCTTTGTTGAGTGAAGCACCTCCTTCTAAGGTTTAGATTTCATTCTCAAGGATTATAAAAGGGCACACCCATAATCCCAGCATTTTGAAAGGCTGAGACAGAAGGATCGCCTTGAGTTCAAGCCCAGCCTGGGCTACATAGTGAGTTCAGGACCAGCCTAAAACTACATAGTGAGACCTTGTCAAAAAAAAAAAAAAAAGAATTATAAGAAGGTACAAGAGTAGGTAGCTCCTTGTGGCCCAAAATAAAGTAGACTTTCTTACCTTAGAGCTGAGAAGCAAGAGAAATTTTGTGGTTCTTAAATTAGAATTTGCTACAGGTAGGTATGCTGGCAAAAGTCCCAGCTATCCAAGAGCCTGAGGAAGGATTGCTTGAGCCCAGGAGTTCCTAGCTAGCATGCACAACAGAGTAAGATTCTGTCTTTTAAAAAAAAAAAGCCAAGCATAGTGCATGTCTATAATTCCAGCACTCTGGGAGGCTGAGGCAGGAGGAACATCACAGTGTGAGCACAGCCCTGGTAATTTAGCAAGCCTCTGTCTCAAAAAGGGGTGGAGGGGGCCAGGGATTTAACTCAGTGGTTCTGCCACCTGCCTCGAAAGCGCAAGGACCCGAGTTCAATCCCCGGTACCCCAAAAAATGGTGGGGATATACTTCATAATAACGCTCTAGGTTCAATCCCCAGTACCACCAAAAAATAATAATAAATAAAATTTTCTAAAGCAAAAAATGATCCAACTTGGCATAGTTCTGAAAGTCCTGTAAACAGCCTTCCTTCACCTTCTTGCCCCTCCCTGTGTCATTCCTGCTAGGTCTGGAGCACCTCCCCGCTGCTGAGCCGGCCACTGTCTGCATTAGTACTGAACAGACCAAAGACACGGACAGATGAGGTACCTTAGTAGGTGGAATTTGGACTGTGGTTTGGGGAGAGGAGTAGGAAGGGAAATCTGCCAGAACCAGTAGGGGAACTGTGGAGGGCAGTCATCACTGATTGAAAGGATCAAGGCCATAGTCTTAGGGTAGAAATGGGGGATAGTTAATACCATGTATATTTTAGTGCTCTAGCTTTTGCTATTGGCAGTACATGCCCTTATGTTCTCCCCTTATCTGCCATTACTTGAACTAGTTTGCTGCCTTTTGGTTCCAGACACCAAGAACAGTCTAGAGGCCTTGTCTTACACTTTTAGACTACATCTGAATCTTATAGGCATTTGAAGTCCACTTCTTACATTAAAAGGTTTGCTTGCCATCCTTATAGGAAGTTTTCCTGGAAGTTACATGGTTTTCCATTTGGGGGAGATTTGGCAGCATAGAGAATTTAATAGTACAGATGTTTCCAAAGCAAAAAGGGGTTTTCTGAAAACACTTTACCTTCTACCTGCCTCTTCTTCACAGAGCCTCAGCAGCTTTGTAGTCCCTCGTTCCCTGAACTCACTTGTCCCTAGCCGCAGCTTCCAAACCAGCATCATTTCAAGAGACATCGACACAGCAGCCAAGTTCATTGGTGCTGGGGCTGCCACAGTTGGGGTGGCTGGCTCTGGGGCTGGGATTGGGACTGTGTTTGGGAGCCTCATCATTGGTTATGCCAGGTAAGGTGACTTGGGCCCTCCCTTGACTCTGAAATGCTTTCTGAGGGTCTGGGCAGATAGATTAGGGGTCTAGAGCTCTATTGTCTTAAATAGCAGCTGTGACCCACATGTGGCTATTTTTTTACTTATATTTTAGTTGATTAAAAACACATTAAAATGTAGGTAGATGTGGTGACAAATGCCTCTTATCCCAGCACTTGGGAAACTGAGGCAGGAGGATCATAAGTTTGAGGCCAGCTTGAGCTACAAAATAAGACCTTGTCTCAGAAAAAAAAGGCACACTTGTAATCACAAAAGTGGTGCACACCTGTAATCACAGCGTTCAGGAGGCAGGAGCATCATGAGTTCAAGGCCAGCCTGGACTACATAGCAAGACCCTCACCACACACAAAAAATTTTTTTTCAGGTTTTCAGTTCCTCACATCAACATATTTCATGTGCTTAGGAGCCAATTATGACTATAGACTACCATATTGGATGTGTAGATATAGAACAGGCACATCATTAGAGGAAGTTCTGTTGAACTGCTTTGGTATAACGTAGGGTTGGCATACAGGCCTGAGGGCTAAATTTAAGACCTCAGCCTGGTTTTCGATAGTTGAGCAAAAAATGATTTTTACATTTCTTTTAAAAATTTTTTAAAGAAAGTTAGTTTTGAATGTTTTTACTATAAGGGAGTGATAAATGTTCAAGTTGTTGATATTTTGGTTACCTTGATTTGATACTCATCACACTGTACTCCATAACAATACACAGTTACTATGTTTGCATCAATACAATACTTTTTTAAAAATTTAGAAGGCAACAAAGACAGTATGAGGCTCACAAAGTGTAACATGTTTACTGCCTGGCCCTTTTCAGAAAAAGTTTGTTATCCCTGGGACAGAACTCAGCATTGTGACTTTAGTGTTTTCCCCATCTCTGAGAATTCCCCTCTGTCACTCTTGGGAAAACTGCCTCTCCAGCTGGCCCTGCTGGTCCCTGACACCTGGGACTGTTTGATTCCTGCCAACTCTGGACACCTCACTGTTAGAACCAAATTAATCTTCTAGAGACCAGCAAGGTCTCTTAATGTCTTTGGGAGAAATAAGGTTTTTTTTAGGATTTGTATTACGCCTGCTGCTTTTGTGTCCATAATTCTGTTAAAAGCCGGTATTGCCAGGTATGGTGACAGACGCCTGTAATCTCAGCTCTCAGGAGGCTGAGGCAAGAGGGTCACCTTAAATTTGAGGATGACCTGGGCTACCCGGTGAGTTCAAGGCCAGCCTGAACTACAGAGCAAGACCCTGAGTCAAACAAAAAAGCTGGTGTTGCTTTGCCTTACCCATCAAGTCTTTCTGAGGTGTCGGTAGCGAAATACAAATTATGTTAACTTTTAAAAGTTGACAGTTCCTTAGCTGGGCTTGCTGGTAGACCCTAGCACTGTGGGAGGCTGAGGCAGGAGATCCATAAGTTCAAGCCAGCCTGAGCAATTTAGCAACTCAGAGAGACCCTGACTCAAAATAAGAAATAAAGAGGGTGTGGGATGTAGCTCAGTGAGAAGGCCCTGAGTTCAACCCTCAGTACAAAAAAAAAAATTGGAGTCCTATTTTAACTCATATCAGATATAACACATCACTCTTTTTTTTTTTTTTTTTCCTTGGTACCGGGGATCAAACTTGGGACCTTGCGCTTGCGAGGCAGGTGGCAGAACCAATGAGCTAAATCCCCGGCCCACATCACCCATTTTTTAAGTTTTGGGGTTTTGTTTTTTGTGGCTTTTTTTGGTGGTACTGGTCATCGAGCTCAGTACCTTGTGCTTGTGAGGCAGGCATGCCGCCACTGAGCTAAATCCCCAGCCCAGTTTTGGATTTTTTTTTTTTTTTTTCCATTTTCTTTGTGTGTGTGTGAGGGCAGGAGAGTATTAAGGATTAAAACTTGGGGCCTTTGTACTGAGCTACATCCCCAGCCTTTTAAAATTTTGAGACAAAGTCTTACCAAGTCATTAAATTGCCCAAGCTAGGTTTGAACTTACAGCCCTCCAGCCTCAGCCTCTCAGAGTACTGGGACTACAAGAGTGCATCACCACGCCCGGCAGTTTTTAGCATCTTAAAAGTCTTGACTGTTCTGAAATGAGAGAAGGAAGTCAGCCCCTCTGACTCTCCTGACCGCCAGGACAGTTTTTCTAATTGAGTCCATAAGCCCTGGTTTCCTGTGGCTATGCCCCAGGACTGCCTGAGAGAATGAAGAGGTGACCAGAGAAGCATTGAAAACTCCCCATTTATTATATACCATTGCAGTTTGCCATGTATGCTTCCTAGTTTGGGGTAAACTGCTCTAGAAAGACCCTGCTACTGGGGCCGGGGATTTAGCTCAGTGGTTCTGCTGCCTGCCTTGCAAGCGCAAGGACCTGAGTTCGATCTCTGGTGCCAAAAAAAAGACCCTGCTACTCTGGGTGCTTTTTCCATCCTGTTTAGGCCCTGGAAATTAAGTGTCCAGGGCTAAAGAGTTTAAGTTACAGTGATGATAAGGATGATCCACTGGAAAATGTAATGTTTGTACCTAGCTTGTGTTGTTAAGATTTTAGATTGTCTGCTTCCCCTCATTCAGTCTCTGTAGAGACCTAGGTGCATTGGGGCAAGAATGGAGGCACAGTGGTGTCACCTTGAGTGGCTCCTTGCTTAATAGGATCTTGAAGAGAATTCTTCCTGAGCCCACCTTAGCTATTTGGCCTTTCCTTCATGTGGACTACATATTCAGTCTTTTCTCCTCCCTTTCTTCCAGGAACCCTTCTCTGAAGCAGCAGCTCTTCTCCTACGCCATTCTGGGCTTTGCCCTCTCAGAGGCCATGGGGCTCTTCTGCCTGATGGTGGCCTTTCTAATCCTCTTCGCCATGTGAAGGAGCCATCTTCGCCTCACATAGTTCTTTCTCCCATGTCTCGTCTGCCCTATATGTTCCTTCCCATATACTTCCCCAGGCTGCCTGGGGAAAATGACTGGCTCAGGGTTTGACAGAGGGAAGATAAATAAACACTGTATTAATAAGGTGTTTCTTGATTCTCCTGTGTACATTTCTGTTCCACAGTTGGCTGAGTACCTTGGTGAGAGTACAAGCCCTGGAGGTAGCGATAGTTTTAAACTCACCAGGGGTCTGGCTGGGCTCATTGGTTCTTAATGCTCTATTTCAGGAGAACTTTATTCAAAATAGCACTCCCTTTTAATAATTATCACCAGGCATGGTCTGTAACTTGCCATGAAGGATTGGGTTCAGTAGCAACTTAAGAGTATTGGCTTAAAATAATAATTAATAGGCTTTCTATTAACTATCACTGCCACAGCTTAGCTCAAATCCTCTTTGTTACTCATCTATTCCAAGAACCTCTTAACTGGCTGGCTGCCTCCAGTTTTCTTCTAGTGTCCACTACCCACCACTGCTAGGTGAATGTTCCTTAAGTGTAAGACTAGTTTTGTCATTTATCAACTCAATCAATTAAAAGCAATTTTCTCAATTTTTTTTTTTTTCTAAGACAGGATCTCACTATGTTGCCAAGGCTGGCTTCAAAAATGAGCTTAGGCAATTCTGCATCACCCTCTTCAATACTGGGATTACAGCCATGTACCACCAGGTTTCTCTTTTATTTCTACACACTTTTCCCAAAGTGAACTGTCTTTTTTCAGATGGTTTCCTGTTCTTACCATATTATCCAGCCTTGCCTTTTCTCTGTCCATCTGCTTTCTGTATCTGAATCTTTGCTCATTTTATTTTTCAAACTCACTCTGTTATTCTTAGGTTGTCTTTTTTTAAATTTATTTATTTTTGGTACCGAGGATTGAACTCAGGTCCTTGCATTTGCGCAGCAGGCGGCAAAACCACTGAGCTAAATCCCCAGCCCCTTCATTCTTACTCTTAAAAGACTTGACTTAATAGCTATCTCTTCCTCCACGAAGCTATCTTCTTTTTTTTTTTTTTGGTACTAGAGATCGAACTCAGGACCTTGTCCTTGCAAGGCAGGCGCCAGAACCACTGAGCTAAATCCCTGGCCAACAAAGCTATCTTCTAAGTTCCAACTACCCTCAGTCAAATGAGCATTATCCCTTATAAAGGGCTATAGAACATCTTGTCTCCTTTATAATACGTACGGTTTATGATAAATTGTGGATTTGTGTGCATGTGGGCACTTCCAAATTGTCTGTTTCTTGAGGCAAGAAACCTCATATCTTTGTATCCCTAAACATCTAGTGTAATATGTCTTAGTCCTGTTTTTTATTTAATCACCTAATCCATTTGCCTCTCTTCACAAGTAAGAAAACAGATTTTGAGAGGCTGAATTATTCTCTCAGAAGCATTCACAGGCGGAGAAGGAACTAGAGCTGCAGTCACTTTCTGGAGTCCAGGGTGTAAGATGTTTTTTGTTTTGTTTTAGTACTTCCTAAAGCTTTATTTTTTCAGGGTGTAAGACTGCCACATTTTTGGTTTTGTGAGACTCTGCCCAACCATGGTATTGCTGCTAACTGTTGTAGTAAGAAGCAAAGGGCAGAGTAAGCAAAAATAAAAATTCCCTTAAAAATGCCTGAAGAGGGACTTTGGATCATGGAGTAGATATAAAAGGTGAAAAATTTGCATTTTCTAAAGCCTAGATAAACTTTTCTAAGCTTTATCTTACATAGCTTGAAATAACGGTATTAACGTTCTTTCAGAAATGACGATGTCACTAGCTTTAATGGTTTTACTTTTGGTCCAGTCAGTGACAAACTCCACAAGCAGGTCACTCCAATCAGTCCATGCCTGTCTGATACTATGATAGTGTTGAAAGGGATATACACAGTTTGCGTCTAGATTGCTATACTCTCCTCAAGTAACTTCTGGGGTATGGACCTCATAGGGCAGGTCCTGATTTCTGTTTTCTTCACCTGTGGTAGGCGGTATCTACATTATTTGGAAATAAGCAATACCCTTCCCTTTGTTTTGATTATGTGAATTTGAACCACTGGCAGGCTCTGCTGCCCTGCCCTGTTGTTCAGTCACAAGTAATGTGTTTTCTGTCACTCATTTCTTTGAAAATGAGTTGAGCCAACCTTTTAACATTTAGATGCTTGGAGAGAGCAATGTTTGATGGCTCCCTTTTTTTTTTTTTAATTCTCTGAGGTGAATGATGAGATGGTTCTGCAAAAAGCCTGCAAGCAAATTTATTCGAGAGGAGTCAAGGCAACTTGGATCCTCTGAGCTTCAGGCCCCAAGAGACATTTATTGGCAACCCAGGTTGCCAACAACTTACGAGTAAAGAAGTGTTATGTTTTAGTAGAGAAATGTTTCAAGAGCAAATTTCTTGATTATCTCATCAACTTTTGTTACAAAAGCTTCCTGCTTATCCTTCAAAATAGCAAATGATTTGAAATCAAGGGACTTAAATTTCTTTTGTAGTGCTAGCCAATTGTGACTAACCAATAACTCTGCCCAGGAATTATGGGAGTGCACACATAGATACCTTGAGTATTTGGAAAGGACAGTGCTATCAGAATTAAATGTATATGAAGCCAGCTGTTGTGGCACATGTCTGTAATCCTAGCATTTGGGAGGCTGGGATCACCACAAGTTTGAGGCCAGCCTGGGCTACATAGTGAGTTCAGGGCTGGTCTGAACTACAAACGGAGACCCTGCCTCCAAAAAAAAAAAAAAAAAAAAAAAAAAAGAATTAAATGCATATGGATTATCATTTGCTTTCTCATTCTTAATGGTGCTCAGAGCCATTTTATAGGTAACTTCTCCTTTTTCTAGTTAGCATAGACAAGAGAACTTTACCATTTAAAATGGAATTGACTGTTCAAAAATTTCAATCTTGCTAGAAAGCATCTGAAGAGAGAACCTAGGGATGCCGAAAGCATCAAGACCTGCTTCTCTCTTCTTAGTTATTTCAAGAGTCAATTATGTTTCCTTGGCACAAATGGTGGAGGGTCAACAGATTTGTGCCAACCTAATAGAAATAAATGATGTCCTTTATAAATCATCTAAATGTTAAATAGCAGTAATGAGGATCCTCCCCTAGTCTCCTTTTCAGGAAGGTTTTATAGTTTGGGCCCTTCTCAAGGTCATCAGGATGAAAACACTGCTAAGGATTTAGCTGGAGTTAATAGCCAGGAAACTAAGGCAGCTCTGTCTTCTTATCTTCACTCAAGAGAAATGAGATGAAGGATTATAAAAAGAAGAGGAGGGCCGGGGATTTAGCTCAGTGGTTCTGCCGCCTGCCTCGAAAACACAAGGATCCGAGTTCAATCCCCAGTACCAAAAAAAAAACAAAAAAAAAAACGAAGAGGAGTACCATATCACTGGTGAATAAAGAACATTGTCCTAGTCCTCTAAGTTTTGAGCAATAAAACAACTTTACTGAGCCATATCTCAAAATACCTTGCCTTATCTAACATGTATTCTTCGCACATACTCCTGGATGGATTGGGGTTCTCACAGTCTGACAGGAAAATCTAAAATATGGGACAATCTTTTAGTCCTCAGGCATTCCTTAAAATTATTTTTGAGCATTTACCTCAAGGCACTAAATATCCATATGTTGTGATCAAAGTTGTCACTTTAGAAAAGGCAGAAGGTACTGATGTATAATATTGGGCGTAATGACAAGTCACTCACATCAAACACTTGGCTTCTCTTATTAGTGTTAACTGGTTAGAGGCAATCTAGTCCTATTTTCTCTCCTCCTCCCAAAGAGATCATTGGGGCCGAGGATGTAGCTCAGTGGCACAGCACCTGCCTGGCAAGGACGAGGTCCTGAGTTCAATCCCTGGTACCAAAAAAAGATAATTCCCACTCATATTCTGAGTAAATGCTACGGCAGGCAGAATTGGTTATTGTCGTTGTTGTTACCGGGAATTGAACTCAGGGCTTCATGCATGCCAGGCAGGTGCTGGACTGCTGAGCTACATCCGCAGCCCAATTGGCAGAAATTTGTAAATGATCCTTTAAAGAAGGCCAGGGTCGCCGCCTGGCCTGCCCTGAAAGCTCAAGGACCTGAGTTCGATCCTCGGTACCAAAAAAAAAGATGGGCAAGGAGCTAGGCCTGGTGTCACATGGCTGTAATCCCAGCACTTGGGAGGCTGAGGCAGGACAACAGCTGCAAGTTCAAGGCCAGCCTGAACTACATAGCAAGACTCTGTCTCAGAACACCACCACCCCAAAAAAGGGAGGGAGATAGTTAAGTGGTAGACTGGATGCCTAGCATGTCAAAGGCCCTAAGTTTGATTTCCAGCACCACAAAATAAAAAATAATCCCTTAAATATGCCCTGCTTTAATCCCCAGAACATGTGTGTTTGTTACCCCTCCCCTGGTTATATGGGACTGGTGACTTAGATTATGTAAATGGACCTGATCTAATCACATGAGTGAGCCCTTAAAAGCAGTGAGATTTCTCAAATTTGTGGCATTAGAAGAATTCAGAGGGTTGGGGGTTTTTTTCAGAGGTTTTTAAGAAAGCATTTAGAGCTGGGCATAGTGGTAAACACCTATAATCCTGGAGGCAGGAGGATCACCACAAATTTGAGGCCAGCCTGGGCTACATAGTGAGTACAAGGCCAGTCTGAACTACATAGCAAGACTCTGTCTGAAAAAAATCCAATAAATAAATAAAGCATATAATACACTATTGCTGGCCTTAAAGATGAAGAGGACCCTAAGTACCAGAACGTGGCCTCAGAACTGAGAATGACCCCCTATCCAGCAGCCAAAAAAGAAATGGAGACCTCATCTTACAACCTCAAGGAACAGAATTCTGCCAACAACTTGCAGGTTAGAAGTGATTCTTCTAGAACCTCCAGTGAAAAGTCCAGTCCAGACAATACTTTAATGTAGGGTTTGTGAAAAACTAAGCATTGAACCCAGTCAAGCCTGCCTACATTTATGATCTGCAGAAAAGGCTAATAAGTGGATGTTGTTTTAAACAGCTAAGTTTGTGATAATTTGTTGTGCACCAATAGAAAACTAAGAGAAGTGCAGTATTCTGATTTGTAGGAGTGATACTTCATCTGGATCTTAATTCTAAAAG